GATGACCAAATAACATCAAAGTCTTTGTCATACTTCTTATAGTCCCAGTGTACTATATCGCCCTACTGAGAACACAGTAGTTCAGCCAATTTCAATGGCTGACTGCTCTGGAATTCTCCATGCTTACAGATCTGTTGCAGTTGGGATAGCAAGGGTACAAATCCTGCAATCACGGAAAGTTTCCACATGCGTTTGCCAAGCCTAAGTCCTCAGTGAAACGCTTTGCAATCAAAACAACCTCCACACTCCATCCGGCGGAACTCACGGCATGTGGGGTGGCAGGCTGCGGCCGACACGGGCGCGCGGCGTCTAGATCGAACTGGAATCAACTGGACCATCCATGGCAAACACACATGTGCATACCGAAATCCAAGTCGACCATGTATTTCCCAGACACTCCATGTATGCCATATATGCCTACATTGGGGTGGCTTTGGGGGTCAATGTAGGCATATATGGCAGTCCCATGGAGTGTCTAGGTTTTGACTGAAGTCAAGGATATTCCTGACCTCGGGTCACCCAGTCGACTGGACTCCGAGACCGTCCCCACGGAGAAGGGATGGGGAGATGCTTCGGGAGGGTGGAACACGTCGAACGACCAAACGCAACACGTTGTTGACCCCGTTCAAAACCTCAGCCTGAGTCTTGGGGTAGAGAGGTGCCACTCGAGGTGCCTCATACTTCTATGTCGTTGTATTGAGCTCTAGTCAGTTGAATGTAGGACATCTCTTATAGATTCTTCTACTAGAGTCATGCTGATATAAAAAACAATAGTTGACTAGTTCCACTTTCGTTGTTTGGGATCTTTTCTGACATCATGTCCCTTGTTGCTTCCCAAGGATTTTGACAACTGAAAGAACACTGAGCTGGAAGAAGTGTTTTCATCGAAACCCGGCATGATGTTGACTGATGTTCAACATGATTCACGCACAGTAAAGATTGGTTCAATTGCGTGGCCCCACCCCTCAGACTCCATCAGGATCCAAATCCCAATCCCTCAGGCTTCTGTGAATGAACCAAAACCATAGAGCGGGATCCACAAGGGGAAAGCCTTGTACTTTTGGATCCAGTACGCCTGGGTGCTGAACCCAAATCTTTCTCAGAAGCGATGGACAACTCTCATCCAACTGCTATGCTGTGAAATCGGCCACGGCCGAAGAAGCAAAGTGAGGAGCATACCAGTCCCTTCACATCAGGTTCTGAACAGGATGCGGTAGTGTTTGTGTGCAGGTGTTCTGGTTTGTGAGTGTTGCGTGTCGCGTACAATAGAAAGAAACATGTCTTGTAGTTTGCACAGCAACATGATGCAAGAAAGCACATTAATCTCCGGTTCGACCATTCACGACAAAGCGCGCGCAAAACCAGTGTTTGCCACCCCCATCTATGCTGAGTTAATTCGTTGCACCCATTCAAAAGCCACTTATCACGAATCTGCAGGCTTTTCTTGACGGCTTCGATTAACAGAAAATCCTCCAAGCGAACTGCCGGTTGCACCACACCACTTTCGTTTGCTCAAAAGCAACAATCCCACCATCCCCATCACTTTTAGAGCGGTTTTGTGGAAGGAATTCGAATAAAACATAATAAAACCTCCACATCACCATTGAACAACCACCGGCATCCCCAGAAGAATCCTCGGGACCCGACCCAAACGGCGGTCGAGTCCCAAAGCCGACATGAAGCCGACGAAACTCGGGGGCCGTTGGACCAAACGGCACTCCATGGGACTGGCGATGCCGTTGACCCCGTTGACCCAGCACACCAATGGGACGGTACAGTAAATATGCCAGTCCCATGGAGCGTCTGGGATATTCTATATATTATGATGTATTATGTATATATATATATATATATCAAAATCTCTTATTGTAGTGCATCCAGGATGTGCAATTGCATCTCTTGCATCTGATCCACAGAAAACAGAGGCACCTTGCCCTACAAACTCTTTGTTGTCCACTTGCCAGCCACTGCAAGCCTTTGTTAAACTGGCTGGGCGGTCCTTCTTGAGATTTCAACCTTTTTGGGGGGGTGACCACCCCGCTTCTGGGCGGTCGAGATGGGGTTGCAGGGAAAGAAAACACGGCGCTGCGTGGCAATTCCGTGAAACACCTCTGACCTCGGCCTCGAGGTGTATCGAGGTATTGCCACGGCAACAGGAACAACATCTCAGGACTGATGGATGTTCATCCTTGACAGTCTTCTGTTGACCATCGCCATTAATTAGTATTAATTATCATTGTGGCATCTCTCGGTTTTTCGTGTAACATGACAATTCTCCACCTCCACCGTCTGTGGAAGGAACATAGAACAAACATCCTGTTTCAATGTATATGCGGACAAACAGCAGATTCGTACGGATCGAAAGCTGAGAAAACAACTCACTTCCTTCGGATCCTACACTCAGCTACTTTCGAGCACATGAGGTCCAGTAGGGACCACTGACGGGCTTGATTCTGGCATGGCATTTGCATTACGAGCTGATGTGAATTCGGATACCGTAATCTGTTGCGCACGGCCCAATGGCAGCTTGATGTTGGCAGAATAGAGCACCAAGAGTTCTCGCCCGTCAAGTGCCACCGATTCAGAGTCTACACAGAGGAACACTGAATCACTCAGATCGCTGAGTCTCTGCGTGAGATGTACAGGAACACAGCGGCTTGAATCCAGGTTTCATGGTTCATCATCTTGGATTGGCTGATTCGGAGCTGGAACAAGTAGTAGCAAGGACGCTACTGGCCTTACTACTAGGGACAAGAAGCTACTAGTAACTAGTAGCTCCTTGCATCGCTACTAGGAACAAGGACGCTACTAGTAGCAAAGGGCATTACTACTAGGAGCCTAAGAGTAGCTACTTGCTCCTAGTAGGTTCTGCGAGGAGCCCCGGTCGTAGCGTCCTTGTTCCTAGTAGCGATGCCCTTTGTTCCGAACGTAGCAAGACACCAAACTCTTTATTCCCCTTCAGGGATTCGCCCAAAAATCTGCCAAACCAGGGTGACCGAGCGTGATGCGCTAGACCTATCGCTTGTGGGTCACGGACACGGTTCTTTTTCTGGCCGAAATAGGATGAAAAGGGTAGTTCTTGATGGTTGCCTTTCACTCAAACAAACACAAGTGATAGTGGAAGCATGTGGAAGTTCCCTTTTTCAATTGGTGCACTGACAAAAGGCAACAGAACAGAACATACTTCACCAACGCTCAAGCCGGAAAGCCTCCGATACCGATATCATACGATACCATGGTTGAAATGCAGACTCTGACCTGGTCCACCCTCCAGCTCCATGTGGGAACAGAAAGGTGCTTTCTGAAACCGCACCCAACAAGGCTTGGTTTATGTTCAGATCAGCAAAGGCTATTCTTGCTTCGCATTCAAACCGCTGTGCTATCAAAAATGTCTTGGAATGAAAAACTAAAGCCATGCGAAGAGAGACATAGGCCTCCTCACAATCTCTGGCATGGGCTCCAAGAAACCACTTGAGCCAAGTGACCAAGAGCGACGACACGGCGCAGCCCACGTCCGTTGGCCGGCCATCGGAGCAACACGTCAGTGGACAAATCCAGCCCACGGCCGTTGGGTCGCCCGGACGACCTTCAGATCTGTGAACTGCGATGAAACCAGACAGTGCAGGATCCATGGAATGAAGTCTAACAGGATCCCTAGAATTAGTCAAACCATGTCAAACCGCTTTGCCAGGACAAACACAAACGAATCAACGAACGAACGAACCAAAGAGAGAGAGAGAGAGAGAAACAAAAAGAAAGAAGAATATAGGCAACATGCCTATATTATATATCGCTTTAGTACTGTCTTTTAGACATATATATATATATACACGCTACATTTAGATTGATCCTTCAAACAATCAAGTTGGCCAAACAAAGACACACCAGAATACACCTGGGTGAGCTGAAACTCACCGATGTCATCCATTTCGTGTGCCTCGTGGTCTGCACATCACCTGGCACCGCCTCTGGTGTATCGGGGGACCCGAACAGATGGAGGGAGACCCCCTAGGCTGTCTGTTTGTGATCCCCAGACACCACCGGCGCGAACACGAGGGTGTGATGGGTCATGAAGCTGCAGTTCCTCCGCGGAGAAGCAGAATACCTAGACACGACCGATGGGACTGGGATATATGAGTACATTCACTATGCCATATACATAAAGTGTCTGGGTCATGGAACTCCTCGGCTTAGAGTGCAATGATGTCCTTTCGGAACAAGTAGGAGGAGTATGGAGGAGTTCATTGGCCCATTGGTTGTTTACGACCCGGGGTGTATGAACTGACCAACCAAGGCAGTAGGTCTGGCCATGGATGTTGGAGACAATATTGCCGGTCACCAGTCACCTGGAGTCGACCTCATCATCTGGAGTCGACTCGATTCCTAACCAGCATATACAAATGATTTCTGCTACTATTCAACACCTATTTATCCGTTCGAGTGGTCAACCTCTTTTCTGCTTCAACCGATCAGATTCGGGCGAGCCGACCGTGTCGAGACCGCTGAGGTGTGCTCAACAAAGGCCCCACGTCGCGACGGTCGTTTTCGGCCCAACTGCTCGAGCAGCGGGTGGGGTGGGCGGAGGATCACTGTTCGAAAGTCGTTCTGAAGCTACTTGTGCCCAAATATCCGAGAGGTGCTTAAGAGCCACGTTTCAGCCATGGAAATAGAGGGATTGATATGTGGATAATCATTTTGATCTAGACTAGATATACAGCTTAGAAAGGAGTCCTATAGACCATCCTTGGTCCGATTCTGGGAGACCAGACCATAGACCATCTATATATTATAGGCTATCCTAATACCAGGGCCCGGTGGATGATGATGGGGCCTGGTTGCAGGCCGATATCCATCCCTAAGTTTACTGACTGTTACAAGTCTATTGGGACAAACCCAAACAATCTACTATCTGGACCATCCTGTCTGGGTGTCCTGTCTTTTTCGATCCCGCAGTCCTGGGGTCCTGGGCAGGCAAAGCCAAGATGCGCCAAGATGCGCTACCCAGATGGTCGGAGGGTCCTGATATATATTAATCCAATGCCAATTCGTTCATGACCGATCCTTGGACGCACCACCTTCCACCGCCGGACGATGTGGCAGATCTGACGCCCTGCGAGCCGCACCCGGCGGCCGGCGCATCTCAGGGGTTCAGGGGGCCTGGTGCAGCTGCCTCAGGTGAGCTCGAGTAGAGCGATTGGCGCGGATTGAGATGCTTGGAGTCTTTGGAAGATTTTGGAACCAATGGTGTGGGAATCTGGGACCGACCGAGTGAAAACAGAAGAGCCAAAAGGAGTTTAAAGGATAAAGGTTGGGCACAATGACTGGAGAGGTTCTCAAGAGGTTGTGAGAATCTATGCAGGATTGTGCTGGGACAAGTCAAGGTCTTGGAGATTGGTGCTAGGCTGCCTTTTCAAGGTCTTTCTTGTACCAAGTTCACTTGAAGGATCAAAAGCAGACCTTATCCTGGCAGAAGAAAAATACCAGAACATACCAGAACATCTGCTTGAGCCTCTAGAAGAGTATACCACCCCTCCCAGCCTCACAAAAACAACCCCCCATTTCTTCACCATCAAAGACCCTGCCCCCCACAGTTCACCATCCCATGGCCTCTTCAAGACTCCCGGCCGCAGTCGATGCCAAGGCCGCAGCGGCCGCCTCAGCGGTGGCTTGCTGTTTCACCTTCTGCGAGGCCGTCTTCTTGGCCTCACGGCGAACTCGCCACGCACCACGCTTGGCGGAACCAGTTCCAGGGTGCCCAGGACGCAGGCAGTCGTTTCCAATGCTTCGTTCGGATGAACTGAGGTGGTTGCTGTCTCTTTCCTCGTATCCTGAGAGAGCGTTCTTTACTGTTTCAGAAGTGAGGTTGCTCCAGGAACTGAGCGAATCTTTGAGTCTTGAAACATTGAGGTTCCTAATCCATGGATTCACCCATCCATTGCGATAAACTGGGAATTTCTTCCCAAATCATCTAGAGACCTCGCCCCGGGTTGGAATTTGTTCGAGACCAACCAACAACTCCCTAGGGTTTCCAAGGAATTGGGATGGTTTTGGAGAGGGTGTTTACTTTGGGAAATGCATGTTTGTCCTTTGGTATGTGATACTAAGCTTCATGCTTAAGGTCTAAGCTTCATACTTAAAGCCTCGGTCGACTGAAACCAAGATCTCCAGCCCTCAAAAGCAGCAAGGAATCGTTGACCAACTTTCGTCCCACGTTGGTCACGAAAGGCACATGATCAGTCCCAAACGACTTCCAGACTTCCAAGGGCTCCTGGCCCAGATCCTTGAGGAAGAACGCCCACGCTTGCCGGGTGGAGTCGCACTACGCCGGGTGTTGAACACGTAGGTGACCGGTGGTTGGACCCCCCCTGGCACCATCTGGCACCCACCCCTGGCCCACCGAACCGAGTTTCGGAGCCCAAACGGGCTTGAGAATCCCTTGAGAATGCCCTCCTTCTCATCTCGCTCTCCCAACCCGCTCTCCCAACCCGTCTCATCTCGACTCGACTGGACGGCCATTGGGGTCCTGTCAGCCTCGTCCGGTGACCGGCCTTTTTTCGAGCTTTCAACTCTGCGGCTGAGCAGAGATGACAGTGGCCGCATTCCTGGGTCACCACGTGGTTCTCCATGCATTTCTCTCCCAAGCCGGAGATGTGGATGCTTTCCGGACTTTGAGAAGAAGAGATCAGAGTTTGAAAGACAAGTTGGTTTTAAGCTGCAGAATTGACGGAAGATTAAACTATACGTCCAGTATCACTCTTGAAAGGAACAAACCCGTCAAATGTCCGAACCACCTCCTCCATAGCAAATGTTCGCAAACGAAGAATTCCCATGTCTGGAGAGTTCGAACTCTGTCAGGATGTCAGCTACGAACCGATCTTAAAACCGATCCTCGTTTCTGATCGTCATCTTCGCTCTCAAGAGTTGGCAGTCTGCGAGGTTCCCATTCGGGGCCGACCGGCCAACTGGACGACCCTTGCAAGGGTCGCTTGGTTAAGGGTCGATGTGGCTGCACATGACTGTGGAGCGAGGGAGTATCTGGATATTATGCTTGGGAACAACGTGTTTCTCCAACTCTACACCTCTTCCAACGTGCCACACAAAGCTCTCCTCTTCGGACATCCAACACACGACGGTCCGGGCGGTCCTCGCCATTTGAACAGCCCTGGGGGCGCCAAAACCAAGCGCAAGGCTTGCAGTTTCCGGTGCCTCGAAGCAACCGCTTGTAGCTCTTGGCCCCTTTTGGGGGTTGACCAACGGAGGTTGGAGAGCCCTATAGCCTATAGACTACTATCTCATAGGTACCCCCAGTATGGTCCTATATAAGGCGACACTTAACCTCTCTAAACCGATCGATCTCGGAGTGCTTATGGGGCCACACGGGCCTGATAGGGTACGTTTTTTCACTCAACTCCAGTTGTTCCGCAAACGCGCCGTTTGACTCTTCTGACTCTTCTGACTGGTGTGACTATGAGGGAATGAACATAGAATCCTTTGGATCTGAATGGAATCCAGCCACCCTTTCGTCACCTTGCTTTCATCCCCCCCAACACCTCAGTCTCGGTCGTTCCTACCTCGGGCGCCGGGCCATGCACCCGACTCCCCAGTGACATGGTCGGCTGTCGTATTTCCAGCGGCTCGATGGGAGGCCAGACCTGGAGACGACGGACCGGAACGGGTCCGGGAGACGGGTCCGACAGAAAAAACGTACCATGATTCATCAGGTTAATCAGATGGTGAGTTCTGTGAGGGTCTGAGAAAAGGGGGGTCTCTAGAATCTTGACAGCCACATCCTATAAAACCAATGGTTCATTTGCAGGCTCCACGTGTTTAAACATTTGTGTTTGGAGGCTAGAGCAAAGCTTTTAGGGAATAGGTTTGGATTCCAACCAAACGTGGATTCACAGCAAGATATAATCTGGCACTGGCATGGAAAACAAATTAAACACGATAAAGCATGATAAAGCCATGTAAAGCCCATACCCAAACACTCCACACGATTGGCATATGTATAAATAAACCTAATCATGGTATTGCATATTACCTAGGTCAATGATGGTCTAGTATCCCTAGGGCTCCAACTACCTCCTGAGAAGATGGTCGGGGTGGGTGCCAGGGGGGTCTAACCACCGAACCTGAGGAGATGGTCTAGGATCCCTTTGGTATGTCAATAGGCCAATCCCCCTGCGTCGTGCTTGGAAGATGGATGCCTTTGGATCCCTGGTGATGGATGCCTCTGGATCATTTTGGAAGTTCAGACCGACCAGTGGGAGGCTGAAGTCTCGCTGTGTCTGTCTGTGAAAAACATGGTCCGATTCACTGGGTTCTGCACATGTCTGCACAAGACAAGACTTGTTTTCTTGGAATGTTTGGAGAATGTTGGATCCCACATGTTTTCAATGATTCCGGCATCCACTTTTAGCCACTGCGACATGTTGGTAACCATCTTGCACTCCGAAGATACTCAACCCATTGTGCTTGCACAAAAACGGGCTTCCCACACCACCAGACTTTCCATCATGGTATATTCCAAACAAATGTCTCAGATGATCGACTAACGCCCTGGAAACACATCAGGTTCGGTCCAGGAAAGGGTGTTCGATGGAACAACCTTGCTGGTTCCAGGTGCAGCACCGATCTGACCATCTGGTGGTCCCACAGCGACCCTTCGTGCCGTCGTGGTCCGTTCGCAACGGTCTGTCGCCCCGGGCATTCTTGGGCATTGGCCGTGAACAGCTCGAAGCACCCTGCTGGGGGGAGGACATGGATGTTTGTGTGTGGTTTGTGTGGTTTTGTTGGCTGAAAGCCTCATCCTGGATTTCTGTGTGATTCGTTTAATCTTTTGACAGTCAGAGAGAGAGAGAGAGAGACAGAGAGTTTGACTTGTACGTTCATTGTCCTAATGTAGTTCTGCATGTACATGCGTGTGTTCCTTGCATGGTAGGTGGGGCGTCTCTCGCTTCCCAAGGCCGCGTGTCTTCATCCAGAATTTTGCTCGTACACCCCGGAAATGATCCGAAATCGCACCAGAAGACAGCACAGCAAAGAGCAATCCAGACAACCCGAAAGACCCTAAAGAACCCAATCGTCTCTTTACACACCAGACTTTTACACACCCGGGGAGCAGATCCGCGGCAACGCTCCGCGGATCCGCGGAGTGAGTGAACGAGATGAGAGAAATCCACCCAGCGCCGGTCAAGACATCGACCACCAGGACCGAAACCACGCAGGATTCGGTGGTTGGGGGACACCCCGAAAAAAACCGAATAGGCAACGAAACAGGTGACCTCTTGGAAGGTCCTGGAATAAGTCATAAGACTGGCTTTAACCACCCATCGCAGGAACGAACTTCCAACACGAACTCGGATCGCCACCTCGACCTCGGACGTTGGATCCTTTGTTGGTGTTCCATAACAGGCAGCAGTCTCCTCCAGTCACCCACTTCCGGTCGGAACACGAAAGAAGGCTTGCGGTCGTTGGGGTCGAAAAAGGTGAAAACCTGGAGCAGCAATGGAGCCAGAGATGTTTGGACACCCCCGATGTCTGGTTTTCTGCAAGAGGTTGATCAGAATTTCGGTGCACAAAGATCTGAATGTTCCAGTCGTGTTGGAGAGAGACCTCTCGATGTTCCTGAATCTTCATTTTGGACCCTCCTCCTGCAACTAAAATACCCAGTACGTGTACGTCACCCGTGGTTCCAGTGAAACTCATCAAAAAAGATGGCCCCCCCGGTGGTCCCAGTCACACACTCGGATGAACCAAAGACACCACCATGACCCGATCTTCCAAAGTTCGCCCTCGCCTGCGAGGAAGAGCTCACTTGGACGTCTTCCCTGGCCGGGGAAGATGGCCATGAAGACTGCAACGAAGACCAGGGTCAAAAGCAAGACGTTCTTGGAAACACCTACACCAAAATGAACATTTACCATGAGCACAACCCAATTTGGATGGTGATGGAAAGCATCTAGTGGACTCTATCAATGACCCTTTGGATCCCGACTCACTAACATCGCATGGCTCGATCCCGCTCTGTTAAACCCCCATTGGTGGAACAAACTGGGTAGGCAACAGAAAATGACAGTGAGAACATGGTAACTATGTAAGATTTCACGGATAGGTGTTCAACCTGGGTGTCAAGATGTACATAAAGGTGAACATGCAAATAATTATGCACGAAAGCATTCAAGGCGGCCAATCACAAGCATGCAGTAGCTCGTCTAAAGGCTTGTTAGCCAGAACGTGTTTGCGGACTTTGTTATGAAAAGCTCGGGTGGTGGAAAATGACCATTCAGGTAAAGAGAAGCGTGGGACACTATGTGTAAATGATTCCACTCTCTTAGACAAGAACAGCGTAGCAGGATTTGATTCCATTTTCCTCTACAAACAAGCACAAACAGGGGGTGTTCCACTTCCATGATTGTTTCATTATGTTAGATGATCTCCGACCACACCCGACCAAAGAGCCTTGGTAAGAAGAAGGACCGGCGATCTCCAGTCCCAAAAAACTCCTCCACCTTTACCGGCTGTATAGCCGGCCAAGCCCCCTATTCTAAGTGAAAAGCCACGAGGAAACCCGGACCATTGGTCCTGGATATCCTGTCCTGAGATCTGTAAGTGTAGTCTATATAGACCCGGTTAATCATTCAACATGTATTTTCAATTCGTGCCACTATCTATTTGGGGTAGTCCTGATAAACATCCATCCACTCCTGCACTCGCCCGTTGCAAGGCCACCCACCTTTGCACACGCTCCTCCAGAGCCGGATCCTGGGAATTTGGTGCGGCAGACCGTGGCGGCATAAGCGCCCCAGCATTTACTCCCAACTCCAGGTCCATGGTAAAAGAACCCAAAAGATTGTGCTTGATTGGATGGAAAACACACGGTCAGGGGCGGTCAGGGGGTCTAGGAAACATCCTTTGGGTGGTGCTGGATGATAATTGATTTATATATATATATATATGTGTGATTTGAATGAAAGCATCGACCTCGGACCTCGGAAGCAGTACCTTCGAATGTCGGCAAACATCCAGACCCACTGTGGTTTGGCTCAAGGCATGGACACCGGACCGGACAAGGCAGCACCAAAAAGGTGCGAGGGAAGGAGGTTGGAGGACCGACCTGTGGTGTTTGGTTTGAAGGAAAACCCCAAAGGAGAAGGTGGGCAAGGAAGCTACCAGTGTGGTTGCAGTCGCAGCCACATTGGTAGCGGAGCCCAAAAGGGCCTGGTGAGGACACTAGGAAGCCATGGCATCGGGAAGCGACGATAAATCGTCGAATGCGATTTGGACTCTGCTGCCGTCTTTTGACCCCAGCGTTGATGAGGTGAAGGAGTACATCGCCAAGGTGAGATTCCTTGAGGGCATATGCCCGAAGAAGGACAAGCCCATGCTGGCACCAAGACTCGCTATGCTATGCAAGGGGACGGCGTGGCATCAAGTGAGACAGATCAAACCGGAAGATCTCACGAGTGCTGATCATGGGGTGAAACACCTGTTGAAGGCGCTGTCCGCCTGGGAAGAAAGTGCGGAGCTCCGCACGTTCGAGTTGTTTGAGAAAGCATTGTACAAGACCATCCAGAAGAGCGACGAGTCGACCCAGTCATTTGTGAATCGGTTGGATGTTGCTTTTGAAGAGGTCGGAGCCGATACAACATTGAAGACAGTGGTGGCATTTGTACTGTTGAAACAAAGCAGCTTGAACCACGAGGACAAGAAGAAGATTTTGACAATGACTGGAGGAAATTTTGACAAGGATTCGATTGCCAATGCAATGAGAAGCCTCTCCACGTCAGTGCTGTCAGGATCGGGAATGGAGAAGAAAAAGGTCTACCCGACCAACTATGTCGATGACGGTCAGGACATTGAGAATGAACAGCATTTTGCTGACCAAAGTGCCCTGGCAATGCAAGCGGAAGAAGAAGATCTCAGTCAGGAAACCCTGGAACAGATGGTTTTAGCTGGAGATGCTGATGCAATGACAGTCCAAGCCTTCGAAAGAGAGCTTACAGATCTCTTCCAAGAGGTGCCGGATTTGCACTCGGCACTGCTGAGCTACCAGGAAGCAAGAGGCCGGATCACAGATCGAAAGAGAAACCGCGGATTCTGGCCAGTGAGGAGCACCTCGGGTGGAAAATCAGGCAAAGGCTTCAGTGCAACGGGTTCGAAAGGCTTTCGAAAAGGCCAATCAAAGGGCAAAGACGAATTGTTGGCTCGCATAGCAAGGACACACTGCAAACGATGCGGAGAACTTGGACATTGGAAAGCAGAGTGTCCGCTGAAGAGTCAAGCCAAGGAATCACAGGCCAATGTGGCCTCAGCCCAGGAAGCCCTTGATCCAGATCTTTCAGACCAAGTTCTTTTTGAAGCAATTGCCTCCGATCCAGAGGTTGGGTTTCGTCGAAACGAAACAGACAAAACCAAAACCAATCCGAAAGAGTTCAGTGCATGTTCGATCAACCAGCCTCCAATGCAAGAGCTTTCGGCCGAGGTAAACTTTTCTGAAGCCATCATAGATAAAACCAAAGCCTTCTTTTTGCATAGGAAACCGAGTGCGTTCTCCGTTGACAGGACGTCGACACCGTCCAAGCAGAGCCGTCCAGCCGGGACGCCAGAAAGAAGACGTATCAATGATCCCTGTCAATCCACAGGGTTTGAAACCAATGGCATGGCCATTTTAGATACAGGAGCCAGCCGAAGTGTCATTGGAGAGTTGCATCTCCCAAAGCTCATGAGTCAACTCCCTGAGCCAGTCCGGAGCCGTGTAAAAGAGAAAGCCAGCAGAATCGCCTTTCGTTTCGGTAACAACCAAATAGAATATAGCTACAAGCAAGTCCATATCCCCATAGATCAGGGTAAGATTCGGATGTGGTTGATCGTCGAAGTGGTACCACGCGGAACGCCGTTTTTGCTTTCGATACAAACGATGAAACGCTTAGGAACAGTGATTGACCTGCAGAGCAATTCATGTTTCTTGAAGAGCCTAAACAAAGCAGTTCACTTGTTCGAAGGCAAGACAGGTCTGTTGATGATTAGGATTCAGGACCTTTGCCAATCAAGCGAGTGCCAAAGCATTTTTGGCGCAAGCAGTGATTCGAAAGCAAATTCGCAGATCTTCGAGCAAGATGCCGACACGTGGAGAAATGCTGCAAATGGTGAAGAACATGGCCGAGAACGTGGTGCATTCACTCCAGACTCTGCTCATGATTCTTTTGAATCAAGTGGCCACTCAGGTCTCGAGTCAGGAAGTTCCAATGGAACAAGCCACCATGATGAACCAGCTCATGAACGAAGTTCAGTCTCAGAAGGAGAAAATCGAGGAGCTGGCCGACCTGATGAAGAATCAAGCACTGTCGCCAAGTCGTCGGGACGAGGCATTCACCCTGCTGACAGAGAGCGATCTGGAAGTGTGGGACCAGGAGGTCCGAGTCTATCAACAACCACAAGCAGCAAAGGCATCACCAGTGACTCACGGCGTGTCAACGACACCAATGACATCTCCACCAACTCGAGGACGATCGACGGCAGCCGGGAAAGGAAGCTTCCTTGCCCCTCAGACAAAAGGTCGTGTGGTTGGAACGGCGACCATGCTGGAGAGGACCGCCCCAGAGACGCCACCTCATGGGAGCCCATCAAGTGGAGCCGAGCCAATGGGCAGTCAGCTCAACCAGAGCCTCGCTTGGACAACCACGGCAATGGAGCAGTGGGGAATGAAGCGTGTGACCTGGGGAAAGAAACACCCTGGGAAAACATACCAGGCAGTCTACGAACAAGACAGCCAGTATGTGAGTTGGTGTTTAAGCCGCATCAATTCACTGGACGCTCAGATCGGCGACTTCGCTCGTTACTGCCAAACACGGCAACAGATGGAGCAGCAGCTGCACCAGAGCCAGGGGTTGATCTAGGTAAGGAAGGGAGTTGGGAAGCCCTGATATCAGATAGTCAAATAATCGTTGAAACAGCCTTCGAAGCCAAGCTCATTCAAGCAGCGAAGTCAGCAGAAATAGGAAAAGCATTTGGGAAGCCCATTGATTTGCTTGAGGTGTATGCACAACCAAACAGCCGTTTAGCAGAAGAGGTTCGCAAACAAGGGGGTAGATCAGAACGGTTCACCAAGGAGCATGGAGACCTTGCAACCTTTCAGGGCCAGTTGCAGCTGATCAGAATGATCTTTAGGTTGCGTCCGAAACACATCTGGGTAGCTCCAGAATGCTTTCCATGGTGCGCATGGAATCGTTTCAATGCCGGAAGAAGCACGTCCTTGTTCGAGAAGATTCAAAGGAATCGTGAGTTGTCCAAACAGCATTTGGAACTGTGCACACTCATCTGCAAGATTCAGGTACAACAACAAAGACATTTCACAGCCGAGAACCCAGGAACATCCGATATATGGAAACAACCTGAACTTGAGCCACTACTAGCACTGACGAAGACAGTTCAGTTAGATCAATGCAGGTTTGGACTTATTCATCCCGAAGACGACAGACCCCTAAAGAAGCATACTCGTTTGCAAACCACCTCAGACCAAATAGTCAAGGACCTTGATGGACGGTATTGCAAGAAAAACCATGAACATGCTCAGATTGCGGGTTCGTGCAACCATTTAGGAGAAAGAATGGCATTGTCTCGATATGCAGCATTTTATCCCAGAGTTTTTGCAAGAGCCGCAGCCCGGAGCATTTTGCAGGAGGTTCAACCAGCAAGAATTCCAGTTGTCTATGAAGAAGATTGGGAGAATTTGTTTCCTGTTGATGAAGAGCATCCACCTGCGAAGCGCGCACGTTTTGAGCCACCACGTGAATCGAAGAGAAAAGAAGTATCCGAGGACTCAGCAAGGAAAGTCCTAGCTGATGAGACTTGGATCGAAGCCTTCGATTGGTTCCAGAAGAATCTGCCAAAGTCAGGGTCCATCGAGGTCTCAACAGGAACGTGGCCAGGAAACTTCATTGTCGAACAATGTGAATTCCAGGTTCGAAAGATTCTCGCAGGAAAAGGCATGGATAAGTATCTCATAGGAGAAACCACCCATGAAATCCGAAGAACCATATGCCAGTGCCGCAAAACCAAGCAGATTGTTGATCTAGGTGAAGAGAACTGGACACGGTTGACCCTCAGGCAACAGCGTAGGATAGCCATGCCAAGTCACATCATGGTTTGTGTGTTTGGGGTAGATTCAATTAGCGAAGAAAGCAGAGCAGAAGCATCCCAGAGACAAAGTGATCCTGACCCACAGATTGCAGATGCTGAAGGTTCGCACGAACAGCCAGAGCCGAACGAAGCAGAGGTCGGAGAACCAGCCAAGCCGTATGCTGTGGAAATTCGAGAAGACACAGGAAAAGAAGATCCATCAAAAGTAATGATTCCTGCATGGTCTCCTCAATCCTCAAACAATTCGGGTCCGAAGTTCCACAGCCTGGATAGCTTCCAAAGGTCTCTAATTCAGCGAATCCATAATAATCTAGGTCATCCGACAGCTGAGAAGTTAGCCAGCCACCTGAAGAGATTGAAATTTTCACAAGAATTGATCGAGGGTGCCGGTGACTATCTCTGTCAGTCTTGTTCGGAAAGGGTTCCACCGAAACTTCACTCTCCCGGTAAGTTGAAAGAACCAAAGGACTTCAACGAAGTGATTGCATTAGACGGATTCGAGTGGAAAGATAGCAACGGGAAGAAGTATTATGTCATTCACATCTTTGATGAAGCCACCCACTTTCATTTGGGGAGAAGGTGTAAGAGAGGAACAGAAGAAGCTGAGAAAGTAGTCAATGAAACCTGGATTCACTGGGCCGGACCCCCTCAAATAATCCATCATGATTTAGCAGGAGAGTTCGTAAGCCAACAGTGGAAAAACATGTTGCAGCAAAACGGCATTCAAACGCAGACCTCCGCAGCACCCTGGCAGAGAGGACGAATAGAAAGGCATGGGGGCATTATAAAAGAAATGCTGAGTAGGGTAGACAATCATGTGCCGATTCGAAGCGACAAAGATTTCGATTATGCACTGTCCCAATGCTTCCAAGCTAAGAACAGTATGAGCGTTGCAAAGGGGTTCAGTCCAGAGCAGGCCGTTCTGGGAAGATCAAGACGACTTCCTGGATCCATTTGCAGCGACGAGGACACAACGGCACACTCTCTCGCAGATAGTGAAGATCCACAAGCGATGTGTTTCAGAAAAAGATGCAGGTTCGAACCGAAGCCAGGAAAGCCCTCATCGATGCAGACAATAGCCAGTCAATCCGAAGAGCCATGTTAAGACAATCCCGGGGAAGGGAACATGACTGGAAATGTGGTGAACTATGCATGGTATGGGATAAACGAAAGGCTCCAAATATGCTCGAAAAAAGGCAGATGGGTAGGTCCCTGTCAAGTCATCATGCATGAATCGCGTACCATAGTATGGGTAACACACCTGAATAGGCTGTTGAGGGTAGCAAGAGAGAACATGCGGTCTGTGTCCCTGCGTGAGTTCCAAAGTCATCACGGTTTCAGTCAGACCGGGGACACGCATCGTTTGCAAGAGATGGCAGAGAAACTCAAAAAAGGATTTGAAAGACCGAAGTGGAATGTTTCAATTCTCTGAACTCATCGACACCGACTATGAGCCATCAATTGCAGAGTCGAGGCCAGAACCAATGCCCAGGTCGAATCAGCCAGAGGAAGAGCCTCTACGCCGGGTTTCTCGAACAGAATCCCTACCGGGTCATCCGCCTGGACTTGATGCAAGTCAGATCCCAGTGATTGATCCAAATGCAGAAGATGAACTTCGAGAGCCTTCAAACCCAGAAGAAGCCTCCGGTCTAGATAATGATCATCCGGTAAATCCATCAGAATCATTCGGGGATTCAATGGTGGTCAATGCATTATAGTAGAAGCAATAGATGGACAGCAGCAAGGGGTGGATGATAAGGGGACTCTATGGAGTATGGAATCATCCGAAATAGCTGAAGCCCACTTTTGCAGTTTCGAATTCGTTGTTCCGATGAAAATGTTGGAGAAGTTTTGTAAGAACCCATGTTTACATGCCGAAGCCATGAACAGAGCCGCAAAGAAAAGCCATACCGAGGTGAATTATCGAAACCTCACGGAATCAGAAAGGAAGCAGTTCGATGAAGCCAAGCGTAAAGAGCTGAAATGTTGGATTGAGACAAGTACAGTTGAACCAATCCTGAGGCATAAAATCCACCCATCCAGGATAATGTCTTCCAAATGGGTTCTCACTTGGAAGGAAGATCAGACGTCATCGACAGGCCGCAAGCCCAAGGCTCGTTTGGTCATTAGAGGTTTCCAAGACCCCGAAGTTGGGATAGTCTCGACAGAGAGTCCGACTTTGTCAAGGGACGGACGGATGATGATATTACAGACAGTTAGCTCAAAACATTGGGACATCCAATCATTCGACATTAAAACCGCATTTCTGCGTGGTCGATCGGATCAGCGTGAATTGGCCATTTACCCAGTTAAGGAGTTCCAAGAGATGCTTAGCCTCAGCCAGGAACAGGTGTTGTTGTTGAAAGGCAATGCATACGGTAGGGTAGATGCACCCCTCCTCTTCTACAAGGAGTTTCGGAAGTGCTTGGAACATGAAGGATTCACAGCTCACCCTTTAGACAATTGTCTGTTTCTCCTCAGAAATCCGGAAGATCCCACCAAACTGGACGGAATCCTAGGAACACACGTCGACGATGGAATTGGGGGTGGAGGTCCACGATTTAATAAGGCTCTTGAGAATCTTCAGAGGAAACTGCCTTTTGGAAACCGTGAGTATAGAAAGTTCAAATTCACAGGTTTGACCGTTGAACAGAGAGAAGATTTTTCGATCAAAGTAGGGCAAAAAGATTATGTGCACCAGATTGAACCAATAGATGTAGCTAAGATCAGAAGAAAAGAACCAGAGTCGCCAGTGACGAGCCAAGAACAACACCAACTAAGAGCCTTGTGTGGTAGCCTGCAATATGCGGCGGTTCACTCGCGTCCCGACATGATGGCAAAAGTCTCATTCCTGCAAAAGAGCATATGCAAAGCTCGGGTCAAAGACCTAATGGAAGCAAACAAGATACTTCAAGAGACAAAGGAAAATGCAGACACCGCAATTATCGTGCAACCGATAGATATGAAGCAGGTTACCTTTGCCAGTTTTGGGGATGCTAGTTTCGCCTCAGAGTCACAGCTTAAGCCACAACAGGGAGTGTTCATAGCAACCTGCACGAAGGAACTTGCCCAGAACAAGATCTCAGAAATTTCTCCTGTGTCATGGCATTCCAAACAGATCAGTCGGGTAGTCCGTTCGACCCTAAGCGCAGAGGCTTATGCCATGTCATCTTCATTGGACAAGCTCACGTGGCTAAGATGTATGTGGGCATTCATTAAGGACGGCAATTTCCAGTGGCAGAAGCCTGAGCTTTCCTTGCAAAAGGAGCCAAAGGCCCTCCTGATTACGGACTGTAAAAGTCTGTACGACCTAGTGAACAAGATGGCAACACCAAATTGCCAGGAGTGGCGGACGACAATAGAGGTTATGCTGATCAAACAACAGTCGGAAAACACAACGGAGTGCAGATGGATTTCTACTGCTATTATGCTTGCAGATTGCTTGACTAAGCCTATGGATTCGTCATTCCTTCGGAAAGTATTAGCTTTAGGAAAATTCAGAATATATGATGACAGCAATTCGTTGAAAGAAAATCCAAATCGCACTTTCAGCAGCCGATGGATAGAATCTTTTTCGGAGCAGTCACATTCGAAGAAGAGAATAGAACCAGTGTGATTTGAATGAAAGCATCGACCTCGGACCTCGGAAGCAGTACCTTCGAATGTCGGCAAACATCCAGACCCACTGTGGTTTGGCTCAAGGCATGGACACCGGACCGGACAAGGCAGCACCAAAAAGGTGCGAGGGAAGGAGGTTGGAGGACCGACCTGTGGTGTTTGGTTTGAAGGAAAACCCCAAAGGAGAAGGTGGGCAAGGAAGCTACCAGTGTGGTTGCAGTCGCAGCCACATGTATATATGGCTTTTACATGTGACATATACTTAATCACTAAATTACAGTATATAAATGACAGTCTTATAGTTCTATATATACACACTATGTGGTACTTGCAAACGCGGCTACAATCTACAGCACCCCAAAGAGATGATTTCGTCTCATTCCGCGCCCATCCACGTCCTGCAAGTGGAAAGCGTCGGGTGAGCCATCCGGGTTCCCTGCGGAAGCGACCAACCGCTGAAGAGCGCACCGAGGAAGGCGAGACGAGCCGCAAAGCAGGAGGGTGTCCCGCAAAGCAGGAGCCATTGTCAATGTTATCGTATACGTCTATATATCGTATATATATATATATAATGTGTAATAGTTTTATGATGTTTTATGTTCAGTTTCGGGAGGGTAGAGCAATTCCAAACATCTCCTGTTTCAGGTGGCAACAGCAGCCAAAACCTGGGACCACCAAATTTACGAACAAACTTTCTCCCTGCGGAGTGAGTTAAGCCCAGGTTCCCGCAGGGCGTCCATGGGGCCGGTGTCACGGTTTCTCATCAGCGCCGGCACAGACCGTGAAAACAGCATCAGGTGATCCCCTTCACGCTCCAGGTTTGGCGTATCGAGCCCTAACAACATCATCAGCGATGTCGCACGCGAAAGGACATGAACTGGGCCGACTTGCCCCACTACCCCGCCATGAGCCCAGTCAATGGCAGGCATTTCGTTTCATGCATAGGTCAATGTCGGGAACTCTACCGCTCTTGCCTACTTGTGGGCCTCCAGCTACATACATTGGTGAATCGGGGAGATCATACATCCCAAAAAGCAAGAAAGCTACAGGAACTAGTGCAACAGATCCTCGAAAAAACCGTGGAGGGACATCAGGAACAATGTCATGCGTGACTTCAAAATCTTCTGAAGGACATTGATTGCCTTCCGAAACCGAAACCATCACCTGCTACCCACATCCACCCCGAGAATCTTGCCCACCCTCCCCAAAAAACACGACCAACGTCCCCCTGTGTTGTGATCCCGATCCCGACGTGGATTAAGGAGTCTAATAGCGATGGTCCTTCGATCCCGACGTGGATTCGTTCGTCGACCGCGCCGTGGGGTGAGCTCCAACTCTTCGGGGACGTGGATGTCAAAAGGCAGGGGCAGTCCACAGGGCTGAACCTCTGCGCGACTGAGGCGACGGAGGCGCGCAGAGGGCTGAGGCGCAGGAATGTCTGTCTGAGTGCGGTGCAGGTCTGTGGTGGGATTTGGCAAAGGAAGTTGCTGGAGGGAGAGGCGATAGGAATATGAATATGATCCACCCCAAAAGTCTACGAGCAAGAAATATATTTCAAGTACATGTTGTTTTTTTTGCGGAGGACGGAGGTATTGGAGTCAAAGAAAGGTATGTTGTGTCGTCCAAGACGTCTGAAGAACTTGGCGATGGAAGGCTGTTGCAAATGGTCCCTATGGATCCACATACCCTCTGAGAATGTGATTGGAGACTCTTTTTTGTGTAGGATATGTCGGCGAAGTGAGGGTGCAAGCACCTTCGAAGCTGTGTGGATCCCTGTAGGGGGGTTGTACCCAAGTTGGATTCCATTTCAAGCAAGTTCTGACTGTGCGATGTGGGTGCTTGCACACCGTGTGCACATCCAAACGGAATACTTACCGCCGACTCGCCTTCGGGAGCGATCCTCACAAAACCCAGGCACCAAAAGAACCCACACCATCCCATATCCCTTATGTTTTCTGGCAACGGTTTTAAAGAAATTGAAAACCCCAAACAGGTCAATCGCCAGAACCCATATAGTGTTTCTTTGAAAGTTGCATGATTTTAAAATACATGCAGAAAGGCGTGTTAGTCCTATCTATTTGTTTTCGCCTCTTTTTCGGCCCAAATCCATTCGCACCACCACCTGCTCGCCTCGCCTCGTGAGACGGAGCTGCGCCGTCGCCCTTGGAAGCTCCGGCGGTGCTGAGCGGGGCCCTGAGATCTCGGGGAGCTCTCCTGGAGGCACCGGGATGGACGAAGCGACCGGTTCGGGCGGTCAAAGCGAGCTCCTTTTGGGCGGGACGGAGGGAAGTCAAAGACCGACTTGAATGAGGAAGTGATCGAAGACCGGCATGAATATGTACAAATTGTATATATATATATACCTAGAACACTGAGTGACTTCTATTTTGGACCAGGAGCCACCCAAAATATGGCCAAACTTCCTATCAAAACAAAGGTCAATTGGGTTCCAGGTAATATATATAGTATCTTCATCTTCCATCACTTTCATCCCAATGATGTCAAGTTGAGCTTGGATGAGGTGTTCGACCCTTACATTTAAATGTCGGGACCCACCTCCCGTCACAACACTCCTGCCGTTGAGAAATCACGTTGACTCCGAGACTAATCACGTTGACTCCGAGATATCTAACGGTTTGATGAAAAGATGATGAAACAAACCCAAGATTTAAAGACCATTCGAGAGACCAGGAGGTGTTGATGTTGTCAACATGTCATGATACCGACTTCTCTATACTCCTTGCCCCCCGTGAATCCCCCTCGATACCACCCTGGAACCAGACCTTTCGGCAGTCTCCTGGCTCGTCATGAAGGAAATCGGACATTCCCGCTGGGCCTTAGTCACAAGGGTCACCAGCTTCAGGACCAAGGTTGGAAGGTTGGCGCTATTAATCATCAAACATCCAAGGACCGAATGAATAGTGCGAGCGCTTCCTTGAAGAAGCGTGAGCTATCCTGTCCTGTCGGTAGTAGCTATTTAAGCTACTATACTAGCTACCTAGCTTCTACTAGCTACACCTACCACGACTATACCAGGACCATCCTGTTTGGGTGTCCTGTCGATCCTGGATAGCAGTGTACGGTAGTTCAGCAGCGCCAGGACAACGTCTGGTCGGATGGTCGGATGGTCCAGGTCTTTCGTCGAAGTTCTTCGCTCGCAGAACACATGGTTCTATTGATGTCACATCCCAGACACTCCATTGGCCTGCCATATTTGCCTACATCGGGGTGGTTCCAGGGGTCAATGCGGCGGCATATATGCCAGTCCCATGGAGTGTTTGGGCATGGTTACTTGCTTCTCACGGTCCGGACTCCAAAGGCCCAATTGGGGCAGCTCAAAGCATTCGGCGTTGCAGCTGACCATCGGATCGGTGAAATTGGAGTTGGAACCACCGTGCTTTTTATGGTCGTTTCATCCTGAAGAACCATTGTTTTACGAAGGATTCTTACACTACACCACCAGGTATACCATTCCTTTGCTGGTCTTTAAAGGCTACGAACACCCTGCGATCTGATTCGGAGCTGGTGAAACGTGGCTTCGGGGTTCGGGGTCGTCTTCATGATGGATTGAACATGGTACGAAATATGGATGTTCAAGGAGCTTCACGGACTCTTGTTACACCTTTCCTTTGCAAGTCCTTTGCTTCTTTGGGTAGTGTCAATTGTCCTTGGTATGTTTTTGGCCTTCACCGCTTCGCAGTTGATTGGGGAATGCAACAAACCTTCGTCACGTATGTGACAGCCTGGCTATCCTCTGGTGTCGTAGTGTCCGGAGACATTTTTGTCCAGGAACCTTTGGAGCAGAAAATATATGAACAAAGTCTAGTCCGAAATACCCAGTGCAAATGCCGACTGTCGCGGGTCCCTCTCGGTGCATTCCTTGGGGGAAAACCTTCCGCCGCAAATCATCGGATGTTGGATTTTGTGCTGTTGAGCGAAGGGCGAACGGAAGTAGACTTGAGGAAAGCTAGCATGGGTTGATACATGCGAGGAGAGTGGGAACCAATGATATTCCAGGCAAAGCTGGTATCCATGAAGAAGTGAAACAATGAAGGACGTTGGTTCATTCAGAGGTGTGAAAAGAGGAAATTGACACGTCACAGGGAGGAGTTGGGTAGGGCATTCCATCCCAAAAACACTTTGTAAAGCAAGAGTAACTCCAGCTAGCTGTAGCTGACGCTCGCTACTTAACGACATTGTCAGGATGCAAAACACCGGAAAAAACCTCCAAACCGAGCGGCAACTACAAACGCTGCCGAAGGCTGGCAGGGAATCGGAATCCGAATCCGATACATCAATAAAGGTATTCTTCACCTGGCCGAGAGGCGGGACCAAACTGCAGCAGCCAAACATCTACACAGTCGTTCATTGATCTGTGGACCTGGGTAACCAGGGATGCAAAATAGAGGCATGAAATATGGCCCGTCCTGCACAACGGAGACCCAAACCACTTCATCATATGAACATAGCACCATTGTTAGACCAAAATGACAGATCTGTAGGCAAAGAGGGTCTCCAACTGTACAGTTGCTTGCTGGTTGATGTACTTTTAATTGGATTCAGTCCTGCATCCCCACTCACGAAGACATCCCCAGGCATACGGATTGGGGTCGGTCGCGATGCGAACGCTACGTCGCTTACCCCAGTCGCAAGGCCTTGAGCCGGGCCAATTGTCCACGAGCGGCCTCAAGGAAGCCTGGTGGGGCAACTGGAGTTCCCATGTTCGCTCCATATAGCATGTATATATATATAGGTAAATACATGTGTGGCGGCATTGACTTGGTAAACTCGACTCAAATACACTCTCTATTAATGTGGGGGCCCTATCTCGTTTAGATTACTTAAGTAGGAGGTCATGTCACAGTATCTCGCTCAGACTACTTTAGGAACAGATCACACTATCTCGTTCAGACTACTTTAGTGTCATCAAGCATCAAACAAAAGAATCTCGTTTATGTGGGGGACTTTCGCAAGCAAATACTGATGATCGACAAGCAAATAGGGCATGCCGTAGACTATTTTTATAAAACCTAAATAAAAATGGTATGTAAATATTCCATATATGGAGTGTTTGGGATTGGTGCTGCAACTGCGCAGGTTCCACGCATCTGTAGCGAGACGCATTTCGACGCTGGAGGCTTGATTTGGACCTGGATTCTCATGGCCCCCCTGACTCCCCACTGCTCAATTAAGGCTTACGTGGAGCACAGGCGACATGATACGACATGGCGCACTCAAGTCAAGCGCCATGATTTGTGCCGCCAGTCCTGGAGAGAGGTCTAGGTCGTTTTGCTGCGCCATGGCAATGCAGGTCACCTCGGCAAATGTTCCGCCATGGCGGAAAAATGGAGACGCCGTGTCTGGAGAAGAAAAAAACACATCAAAGGCAAAAAAAGTAAGTAGGAAAAACATTGGAAAACAACAACAACAACAACAATTTCTTCTTCTCTTCTCTTACGCTGAGGGAGTCCCGCGCCATCTTCCATCAGTCTGTGCCGACGGGATTGTAGGATCAATGGTACATCTTCTGTGCTCTGCACTTTCTTTTTGCAATGCCGTGTTCCAGGACAGCCTATGTGTCACAGGCCATCAAAAATCCTGAAGCACAAGGGAAAAAGGAAAACTAAAAAAGGTGTCACTCTCTCTCTCTCTCTCACGGTGCTCGAGCTGCGCGCCCAGCGCGCCACATCAGCAGCAGCATGCTTTCAGCAGCCAAAGGAAAAACAGGCCGCTGCTCAGCAATGCAACGGCAGCAAGCAGCTGAACCCGAGAAGCCAATCAGCCAAGGCTCCGTGCAGCGCTATCATCCAAGACACTCTGCAAGACCTGTCCCAGTGCCCCTCGACAGGGGGGTGCCTCCAAATCCTCCGTGTCCTCAGCCGGACCAAAAAGCTCCGGCTCAGCAGTGGCCTGGAGAGGCAAGCTGTCCTCGGAATCACTGGCTGCCTTAGTGTGGCTGTCGCCTCAGTGATAGGCAGCAGCCAAAAGAGAACTGATCTCTCAAGGCACCATGCAGGGAGCTTCTCGGTGAGCTGCGGGGTTTCATTGTCGTGGCATAAAAGCCAGCCTTCATTGTAGCCCAAGTGGCAGATCAGTGCTTGGATGCGGTGGGGCGACCACTGAAGTTCTAACCTGGTCCATAGAAATGCGGCAGCTCAACCAGCGAGTAGACGTCCATGGGCTGAAAGTGGCCTAAGTGCCGGGTCAGGCTCATGAGACGGTCAGCGAATGCGCATTTGATGCTCTGCGGTTGAGTGAAGGCTGCACGCATGCCGTGTCCATATGTCTGCACATCTGGCATAAGTCATTGATGGTGGGGTGAGCTACATCAAGCTCATACAGACCATCTAGGGCCAGCATGGGCTAGCGGCTGATATTTTCCTCCGGTTCCTCGCAGACCACTTGGTCAGCCATTGAAACACGACGCTCCCAGCTCATTCCAATGCCACTGCAGGCACACCATTCAAGAAGTTCATGTAAATTCAGCACAGTCTCTTGGGCCGGTTTCCTGCGTCTTTTGCAGCAGCGGATGAAGGATTGGCAGGTCTGCCAGAGTCACAGCCTTTGCCCCAGGCTGTTGCATCAAGGTTGTGCATACCTCAGACGCAGCCCCAAAATCCCCAACGTCACATGAGTGTCCACAAGAAACAAGTGACGCTGGAGTTCAAAAAGCATCAACTGCTCTCATTGCTCAACCTCAGTGTCAACAGGGCCTGCAACAAGCCCTGCCGTGTGAAGGTTGATGTGGTCATCACCTGGAGCTCCGGGCCATCGTGGCTTCGTGAAGGTCCTGAACAAGGCGACTTCTCTGGACCTGTGGTTTGAGGCGACCAGCCACAAGTAGCCAATCACTGTGACGGCAAAGCTCGGCCCATCACAAGGGACAGGGGACATAAGATCCAAGACATCAACTGGTCGTTCCTCATGGGCACCTGTAGGCGCCAGGGAACAGTCTCTCCTTTGGAATTCTGACTGGCCATGGAGTTGAAGCGAATCACATTCTCGCTTTGCTCCATGGCACTCCGAAGGGACATCCTGTCTGCTCAAGGGTGTGAGTGTGGAGGAAGGGATCAGCTTCTCTTGGTCCCGATCCCATGTCAGGTATGGGAGGGTACCCGTGGGCAGGATCAGGTAAGACTCCTGGCTGGCCTTCAAGAATGCTTCGTCCGAGAGCTTGCTGCAAAAACTCGAAAACCTCAGTGTCAGCTGCTCCATGAAACAACAACAACAACAACAACAACAACAACAACAACAACAACAACAACAAAATCAGACATCTAAATACTTTCAGCACCAACAAAAGATCGAAACACACGCAGAAAAAAAACAAGACCCTCCAATCACCCGCCAAACTCACCGCTATTTCTGGGCCACCCCGACTGTCCAAGCGAACGATCCCAATGGCCCCTCTTTCTACACAACCGCCCGAGCCGGTGGGGTGGACGGCGGCGTGGCACAGGCCATCGAAGGTCGGTGGAGAATGGGCAGGACCAGCGGCCCCGAAGACAACACCTAGCATCGCCTGGGCGCCAGTGCCCTCTAATCTGAAACCACTGTATACCTCTGAATCAAATCATGCACATGAACAGCACCAAAACCAGTCCGCAATTCTGAGACCTTTGAACCATCCCACATCATCCTAGCCAGGAAGTGACAGCTGAAACAAAAACATCCACGCGGTTGCCGCAGACAGTTCCGAGTTTTACCTGATTCCAACAAAAAACCGGTGTGTGAAAACATGTTTTCTCTGCTTGCGTTCCATCATGCGGCAGCGCTGTGAAAAACAAATGTCTCAAACCGGTCTCGAGCGACTCGACCGACGGTCGACCTTTGAAGGTCTCCCTCTTTAGACACAAACCAACGCCGCCCGTCCTCCTCGGAGACCTGGCGCGCGACGGAGCGAGCGAAGCCGAGGCGAGCGACTGAGAGGGAGCGACTCCGCTCCGTGCTGCTGAAAATCGACCCGTGATGTCAGGAGTTTGAGGGGTCAAGATCGGCTGTTGGCTGCTGTTTTGGACAAAAGAAAGGGGGACCGAAAGGCAGAATCATGCAGAAATCAAGCGAAGCTTCAGAATCTCACTGAAACAAGAGGTCATTATTAAAGTACACATCATTGACGTGGTGTTGACACACTTCACTCAGCTGTATCATCAGAGAGCTGAAGCAAAGGCCATCCAAGACAAAGTTCACAAGAACTGGAAGAACCTGAGGTTTGCCGACAGAGTTGCTGTGAGACGGGTCTTGAGGAAGCATTTCCCTCACGGCTTTGAGGCCCTCCGCAAACTCGAAGAGCTGTACCAACCCAAGTTGGCATCAAGGTTTGTTGGCAGTTTGAGTTTGATTCTCAACACACGTTTTTCATCCACGGATGTGGAGGCAGAACTAGAGTTGTTTGAAAAGACGATCAGGCGATATCAGAGCGAAACTGGCAAAGCCTTGGATGACCAGATTTTGCTCGGTGTGGTCATCAACGGTCTCCAAGACAATTCAGTTCGAGACCACATCATTAGAAACACAAATCGCTTGACGAGCTATCAGCTGGTAAGAGATGAGCTGTTGGAGATAGCTCGTACTAGCCGTGTGTTAAGCCAAATGCCTAGCCCCATGGACATTGGCGCATTGCCCCAAAGAGGTGCAAGGGGAAGACTGACAAAGGCAAAGGAAAAGGAAGTAAGGGTAAAGATGACAAAGGCAAGGCAAAGGCAAAGGCAAGACCAAAGGCACCTCCAGCAATACAGCTCTTAGCAAAGAGAAGACGTGTTTCTATTGCAGCAAGCCTGGCCACATCAAGGCCGAATGCCGCAAGAAACAAGCAGACGACAGAGCCAAAGGTAGCAAAGGCTCCAAAGGTGGAAAAGGTAAGAACGCAGCAACGCCAGAGCAAGAACCCCAGAGTGAACCACTGTCCTCAGTAATGGAAGACTCTGACATTGTTGCAGCTATTGCTAGCCCCTTGAAGCGCGTGCTGGTTGACACTGGAGCCGGTTCCCATTTGTTTCAAAGTGGGTTTGACCCCCATGCTGTTGAGAGCGTAAATGATTCATCCAAGAGCTTAGTTACTGTCACGGGTGAACCGCTCACATCTGGAATCAGAAAGAAAAGCGTCATTGAATGTTCTGGTAAAACGTTCAATGTTGAATACGCTGAGTCAGATAAGCTTCAGTTTAGTGTCCTTTCATCCGGTAAAATGGCAGAAAAGGGGGTGTGGACCATTGTTGGTCCCGGTACGCAGTGTATTGCCCAGTCCAGGTTCACTCCCATTATTCAAGACTGTTTGAGCCACATTGAAACGATTCCCTTAACCAAGAGCAGGGGAGTGTTCTGGTTGCCACTGGAGACCAAGCAATCACCAGCGGGTAGCCCCGCGGACATCCTTGGCGGTGTCAAGGCAGTGGCAAAGAGCGTGCCTGCCAACATTTACGATGAGGTTGGGGAGACTGGGCATCAGGATGGAGTTTCTGCAGCTTCTAGTCATCCTAGTGGTCCTGGTGCTTCAACAGATGCTCAACCCCAAACTGGTCACGTTGAACCCCCAAAGTTGCCGGAGTTGCAAGAGCCTCCAAGTGAAGCTTCAAGTGAAGGGAGAAAGCCGAAGGCCAAGAAGATTCCTGATACTGGTGCGAGCATTGCATGCGTGGCAAAGTCCGTGAGGACGACCACCGCGGGAGACAAGCAGAAAGCCACCTGAATGAAGTTCCGCGTGTAAGTTTGGATTACTGTTTCCTGGGTCGTGTTGTGAACAAACAAAACACCGAGTTGAATGTTTCTGAACTCACGTCTAAATCACCAGATGATGAAAACTTGCTGCCTGTTCTTGTCCTTGTTGACGAGAAAACTGGCTGTGTCTTTTCTGGTGTGGTTGCTAAAGGTGTGAATGCTTATGCAAACCATTTGGTGGTTCAAGCATTAAAGTTTTGTGGTAGGCAAAGAGCTGTGCTCATGACAGATGCTGAGCCCAGCATCAAGGCGTTGGCAGAAGCTGCCAGCAAGGAATGGGGTGGAGAGTGCCAGTTGATGACAGCGCCTAGAGGCTCACACGCTTCCAACGGTGCGTGTGAGCGAGCCATCCTTGAGCTGGCTCGTCAAGCTCGGACCTTGGTGAGCAGTTTGGAAGAGCGATTTCCTGGTTTTAAGTTGAACCCCAAAGACAAACACTACCCGTGGCTGATACGCCAAGCTTCATGGCTTCTGACCAGATACCTGGTAAAGGCCGACGGCAAAACGTCGTATGAGCGATTGAGAGGGCGGACCTACAAAGGTTCAATCATTGAGCCCTTTGAGAGTTGTCACTACAAAGTGGCGGATGCGGAAAAGGGGAAACGTGATGCACAGACAAACACGGGCATCTGGTTGGGTAAGAGTTTGCAATCAGACGAACATTTGGTTGCAACTGAGCACGGCATCAGGCGATGCCGGACGATCTGGAGGAAGCCAGAGAGATTGAGATGGAACCTCAAAGGTTTCCAGAGTTGGGTTGGCCTTCCTTGGCAACCTCGTGGTCCACCCACACCAACTCCAGAAGCAATCCGCTCAGGAGTCACTAGCCCTGGCACTCCAGTGCCAGGAACACCAGGTGTAAAGAAAGGCGTGTACATCACGGTAGGGCAACAGCTGAAGCATGGCATGAGGCCAGGATGCCCCGGATGCCACAGTTCAGATGAACATCCCAAGAGGCACCATGCTGAGTGCCGTGCGCGATTTGAGAAGTTGATCAGTGAGGAGCGCTTGAAGCTCGAGTCCAAGGAGGTCTTGGACGTAGAGATGGGTGCGGGTACCTCCGCTTCATCTCGGCCATCTGCGGGTAACACCGCGGCAGTTGGAGAGTTGCCAGCGGGAAACACCGCGGCAACGGGAAAGTCATCTGCGGGGCACACCGCGATGACAAGTCCGTCAGCGGGGAACACCGCGACGGCTGATGGATCGGTCGCGGGCCGCCCCGCACCGGTTGAAGGCCCACTAGAAGGTACATCCATGGGCAGTGAAGCAAAGAGACTGAAGAAAGATCAGTCGTCTGGAAGCAAGCGACCAGCTGAAACATCGCCGGATGATCTCTCTGCAGAGATCGAAAGGCGCTCAGTGGCAGCGCTACTTGAAGCTCCACAAGAAGAAGTGGATTACAACGATCGTCCAACACTTCATGAGGTTCCCTTGGCTGCTTATCCTGAATGGGCAGAAGTGGGACAGGTACTTGACGAAAGGAGCGGTGAAGTTCTTGAACCGGACAAGGTCAAGAAGGCTCGGGGAAGAGAATTGGAAAAGATGGAAACCCATGGTGTCGAGAAAGACATCCGATTGAGTGAAGCCAAGTCACGCGGCTTGAAGATCATCCGTTCAAGATGGGTTTTTGTGAAAAAGGCACTGCCTGAAGACCCACAAGGAGTGCGATCAAGATGTGTTGCACAGGAGATCAACATGGGTCCACGAGATGATGTGTTTGCAGGAACACCACCGCTATGGGTCCATCGAATGGTGATTTCGCTTGCCGGCACACACCGGAAGAGAGAACGTCGCGGTCAAAGATTGATTGCGCGTTATGATGTGAGCATGCTTTCTTCCATGCCTTGTCAAGCGGAGGAATCGCAGTCATCCCTCCCAAAGATCTCTTTGACGGAGAATGGGCTTGGGAATTGGTCAAGGCTATGAATGGAACTAGAGAAGCGTCTCGTCAATGGAGCCTTTACATCCGTTCGGCGATGGTTCCTGAAGGCTTCCGTTTGTCCGAGTTGGTTCCTAACCTGTTCCACCACGACGAGTGGGACATCACAATGGCATGTCACGGAGACGATTTCATTGCAGAAGGAACAGCCGCAGACCTTGATAGGCTAGATGGGATCATGAAAAGGCACTTTCAAGTCAAGGTACTTCCTCGGATTGGCGATCCCAGCTATGGAGGGGCCGTGGCCGAAGGCAATCATTTGAACAGGATCATCCAATGGTCTGATAAAGGCTTCTCCTGGCAGGCTGATCCCAAACATGCAGTTGAGTTTGTGAAAGAGCTCGGCTTGGAAGGCAGCAAAGGTGTCGAAACACCTGCAAGCAAGGACACTGGCAGGAATGAACGGCATGCTGATGATCCCTTGTCCTCATCAGATGCAAGTGAGTTTCGTAGACTTGCAGGAATTGCCTTGTACCTCTCGCTGGATAGGCCCAGCATCCCATTTCCTGTCTTGCAGATCGCCGCAGGCATGTCAAAGCCCACCTTGATGCATTGGTTAATGTTAAAAAGGTTGGGGCGGTACTTGATCAGCTTTCCAGTCGAAGAGTGGTTGTTTGTGTACCAAGAAGAACGAGTTCTGTATCTATTGTGACAGTGACTGGGCTGACAAGAAAAGCAGGAAGAGCATGAGCAGTTATTCCATCAGGTATGGAGATCACTTGCTGGATACGAGCTGCGCTAGACCAATCCGTAGCTTTGACCATCCGTACGAGGCGGAGTATTACGCGTTGACTCGTGGAAGCTCAGCTGGACTCGTACGGTGAAGAGAGTGCTGCGCAGAGGCGTCAGCGAGGCACTGCGCAGACATGTCTCACTGACTCACTGACTCTGCAAAGGAATCGCGCCTCTGGGCGCGGTGTTGGAAAGGTGAAACACCTTTCGTTGAAAGAGCTAGACGGCTCCAAGATGCTGTGGAGAAAGGTGAACTGAAAGTGAAGAAGGAAAAGACTTCCGAGAACTGGGCTGACTTAGGCACAAAGATCTTGGATGCACCCCGAGTGGCAGAGCTAATGAGCAAGATGCCCCTGTTCAGAAGGGGCTTAGTGGGGGCATGTCTTGTTCTGAGTGCTAAGGAGTTTGAATTCGAATGATCAGCGATCCACTGGTTCTAACATCCAGAGGAGATTTGCACGTGTTGAGTTTGGGCTCAGAACGAGCCGATGTACATCATAGGTGAAGGGGAAAGGTATCACAGGGAAGACTGTGCAATAGTACTTGTCAACCTTTCTCTTGCGCAATAACGCCCCAGGTTTAAAGCAGTTATGGATTACTCTCATTGCAAGAAGGGTAATCCTTGACCTGGTAGGGCATACTCTCCGAAATGGTAGTGCTCAGCTGAAAGGCCAGCACTATGGAGGGGTGTCGGGAATATGAGCTTATGCAACATAAGTATGTACAGTAGATCACACGATCTAAGTAACCTTGAACAGGGCTGTATCTTGCAGCCCCTTCTGACCAAGTAAAAGGTGAGAGTCCGGGCGCTGAGTTGCGCCGTTTCACATCGACTCTCCACTGTTCCAAATTCTGGGGGAGCTGCAGATTTTGGGACTCCTGCTCTCTACTTGTCCAGATGATGGGAAGATGGATCCAGCTACCCCAGTTGGCCAGTGGGCCAGCAGGGCTTGGAAACAGGACGCCAAAAGGACGCCAGCGCTCGCAGAGATGGTACAGTGGCCATTGAGGCCGCTGAGTCAGGACTTCTCTTCACTTGGCCCTGCCGACCTTCACGAGACCTACTCCGACCCAAGGACGACATCAGATCCGACCTGAACAGGTGATCCGCCTCGGTACGACTGATCCGAACGAACGACTGATTCGTACCGACATCGATGCAGAATCCGATGATGGAAGGTCGTGGCCGCAGAAGAAAAGCACCACACAGTGGGACACATCTTATAAGAAGCTCCTGAAACCGAGTTCAAGATCACTATATGACTCATATATGACTCATAGAAGGCACAGGCTGTTGAACTGGCGCCTTTACCTTGAGTGTTTGTCTTTTCTTTTTGCTGCTTTTTTGTTGCAGAGGTCCGAGGATCCCACATGTGCCATGGTCAAGCCTGTTGGGGGGGTTCAACCTATAGTGACTCTTCTCAAGGACCCTATCGCTTGGGGGGGCAAAAATCGCCCTTCAAGAACCGTGGTGCCTCTTCCATTTCCCCTCAGGATCTAGAAGTGATGGGAAATGAAATGCCCTCAAAGGTAGGCAAGGGAGGAACTGAAAATGGAGCATTTGTCCCAAAAGGTGGGAAATGCCCTCAAAGTGGCTCTATCCTCAAAGGGGATCACATTTCGGAGGTCCAAGCACTGCAGGGATCCACAGCTGTCGCCCTTACGACCCTTCACCAATCGGTCGGATCGTCCTGCTGTCACCCCAAACAGCTCAAAACAGTGGTGCCGGTGCCGGTGCCCGAAAACACATCCAGTCGGACTAGGGCCTAGGGTTTCGGTCCTGAACATGTCAGGAAGAGTACTGGTGTTGCATTTTCCCCGGACCCAGTCCAATGAGGGAGTCCTTGACCTGTCAGCTGCGAGGCTTGGATGCGCATGGGATGTTGTGTGCTCCGCGATCCTCCGCGATCCTCCGCGCTTCCGCGATCCCACCGGTGCGCCTCAGTGGGACCGGCTTGGACCTGGCGACGGGGGGGCCACGCCGCGAGCGAGCGAAGGAGCGGCTGGGTGATGGGGAAGGAGCGGCTAAGGCCCAAACGTTCCATGAAACTGCCATACATGCCGCCCCATTCCCCCCTAAAACCACCCCAATGTAGGCATATATGGCATATATGGAGCGTCTGGGCTTGGATCTATGACGATCTAGAGCTCAAGCGACTCGAAAGTGCACTAATGACGCACTCGATCGATGTGTGATTGTCGGCTACAGTGATACGTGCGCACAAAGTTGGAATTTAACAACTGAGGTTGCACCATATTATGGTACCCGATGTTTCAACCAAGGCCAACAGAAGTCCGAGTCGACTGACTTAGACCACCCCAGGTCTCCATGCGTCCATGTGTAGCAACCAGCACGCTCCGCTGTCAACACCTTTTGAAAGCTTTGACGAATTAGTAGGCTGAGGGACCAACATGACGAGTGCATGATGAGTACCACAAGACTTGGTCAACTTTCACCCACTACTTCTGGTCCGCGCCTCCCTCTCCTCCTGTTGCTCTTCCTCCTCCTCCTCCTCCTTCTCCTCCTCCCTTTTCTTTTCACTGTCCTGGAATCTCAACGGATGCGACGGCGACTCCTGGACTGAGGCTGCTGGACCGATGCGGTGCCGCACGGCTCCCCTTTCACAACACATCCTCAACCGAAAACGCAGAACCTGTCCATGCGCCAATCGCTGCACCGATTTGTTCATGTTCGTCACATGTTGTAACATGACTTGGTGCAGGGTCCAGGGTCTACGGGGACCAAAATCAATCTGTACTAATACGTCACGTCAATTCCGGGCTAACCATACCTTATATACAGTTTATGAATAAAACCCCCTGCCCTCCCAGTGTCGTTTTATATCTCCATATGTTTAAGAATCATCAACTATTAGGAACAATAAAGCGTATACTAGTAGCAAGGGGCCTTACTACTAGGAGCAAGGACGCTACTAGGGGCTCCTGGCCATACTACTAGGAGCAAGAAGCTATCAGAAACAAGAAATACAGTCATCGACAGAATTATAGAACGGAATGGAGGAGGAAAATTCTCCTGGGATTTAACTGCACCGGTTTTTTCTGTAATTACCGATTCCTGCATGTCATGTATATCAGGGTTGCAGTTAATTTCTGGGCTATTCTAAAATTCACGGTTCCTTCATTCCCACCTAGGAGCCACATGGCCCGTTCTATAGTTATTTTCTGAGCCCACCGCCTTTGACCTCCTGTCAGAAAAATCAAGATTCTGGTCCAGTTTTGTTTTGGGGGGAGGGGACAAAAAATGTTGGACCGGATTGATTCCTGGATATGTTTGAACTCTTCCGGAACCCCCATAGAACAGAATGATTTGTGAATCTGGACTTGACCATCGATCGCCGCTTGCTCCAGTCGCAGCAGGGGCTGTGCCTTGCAAGCCTGTGGGCACATACAGTGATACATAGTACATACTGTACATGTATCATGTATTTGCATAATACCTGCTTAGATGTGAAGAAGTTGAGTTTCCTACAAGAGCTTTGGCGCTGAATGCAACCTCTGTTTTCTCCATCAGGTATGATAATCAGGCAAGATTGTTCTAAAATATGTTTTCCTTCAAGGGTTGAGGCCCTTGTCCAGGCTGGCCTACATACCAACAGGCACCAACTGCATCTTCCACCAATGGATAGCACAACTGGCGCACAACCCGAAGGAGCACAGGGATGCTGTAATTATGGAACAGGGATAATCTACAAATACACAAAGCGATGGCCCAAAGGAAAAGGACACTTATGTAAAGGATCTGTCTTGTTCTATAATTACCTATATAGTCCTGCAGGAGTGCCCCCTAAATGTCCGTTTCTCTCAATTGTTTGCTGCTCATTACTCATTATGTGTACATATCCCTTTCCTAGTCCTTTTCCTTGAATCCTCCTTTGATAAACAAAGCAAAAGCGCATTCGGAGGGAACAGGAGAAAGAGAATCACATAAAAGGAAGATTCAAGCACACAAGACTCAAAGGAACATGTTCTTCATAGGCAAGAGGAAAAGGGCAAATAAAAAGAATCTTCGAGGAATTTGTAGTAAAATTGGACGGTCCAGGAATCTGTTGAAAGGGACATGGATAACAATCTTTGGAAAATACACAAAAACACATTCTCAGGAAAGGGACAAGGCCTTTATAAAAGGATTAGTTATATTGAAAGCTCTTTGTTTAAAAGAAAGTCTTCCAAAAAATACATATAGAACAAAGGAAATTTGTCCGCCCCAAGTGATGCAAAACGATCCTCCAAGGGAAAAATCGCTAACTGCACCAGATACTCCTCAATTCTGTTCTATAATTCTGTCGACGACCATAAAATAATTGAAATAGCATTAAGTTTAATTAGAATTTATTTAGAATTGAAACAAGAAGCTATACATTGCTATATATTACTTATCAACTTTCCTTGGGTTCCCAGATCCTGCTTCCCCGTGCGACCGCCGTGTTCGGCCCGGGTCGCCGGGTTTCGCCAAGTGAACGACCTCGACCTACCCGGCGGCTACTACCCTCGACCTACCATCATGTTGCGGTCGTCCCAGGGGCCAAGCGCATCGCGCCTCCTCATCTGCACTTTCCTGGTGTTCGGAGAGAGATGTCTTTGATCTATTTCGTCTGTGTGCTTCTTTGTGGTTTAAATATTTATGTTGCATATCCTTTTTCCTGGCGTTCTTGCTTGCCTTCCTCACTCTCTGCCTGAACTCCCTGCCTCGATCCCTCTTGCCTTCCCTGCTTCCTCACTTCCTCACTTCCTCACTGGCTGCTTTCCTCCCTTCTTTTCGTTCGTTGTCTCCTGCTTTCAATCCGTTCTTCTTTCTCTTTCTCTTTCTATTTAGTCTCACTCCTTCTTTACCTGCTGTTGACCTTCATGAGCTACTCTTTCTCTTCTCCTGTTTCTTTCTTGTTCCATCAAACTGATAGCTTTAGTATGATTTCTAGAGATTGCTCATGCATAGTCACCTAACCAACCCTCGTGGCGGGTCATCAGCCATAGGCATCTGCTTATTGTAACGGAACGGTCATGTGATGAAAGCACGATTGTTTATAGTACGTACTGAGTATAAACGTTCATCTGAATCCTCATCAAACGGTATGCTCAAGTCGATTTGGACCTATTCCACCTCTAAATCTAGCTGTGTCCGTTCGCCTCTAAATCTATGTTGGCCTATTCGGGAAAACCTGCCATCGAAACCAACTCCGCAAGTCTGTTCTGAGTTCACGGCTGCCTCGCTGCTGGGGTCCTCTCTGGGAGCCTCTCAGGCGCGGATTGGATCATGGTTGCACCACAGGCTGTCTGTTGGTAGCCCCTTAAAATACTTAATATATAAGAGGTTGAGTGGGCCTCTATTGACCACCGGTCACAACGACGGCAGGCCGACCTCTACCTTCCAAGCCTCTGTTTCAAAGGTTTTGCATGGTTC